TCTCCCCCCTCGGCGTTCTCAAGGCACACAACATAATTTCAGTTGTATTAACTTTTGCAGAGTAATTAATTTGAATGGAGTGATGCAGCCATGAAACTGTTGTAATTAGAGTCGTCTTCAGTTGATTTGAGAAGGGCAAAAGCTTTGCCTTAGATTAAATGCATATGTTCACATAAATACTTCATTGTACAGTCTTTATTAGCTACTTAATAAGATGGTAATGATGGCTGAAACTTGAAATAACTCTTAGAGGACACTTGGTTCCTGAGCGCCTGCTGCGCAGACTATGCCTGCTCTGTGGTTTGGGATACTTTTCTCCCTGTAAGTGCTTTTCTCACTACTACTAGAGCATCAGTGGGAGTGATAGTGGTCTGAGTCAGAAAAAGCCATGAGTTCTCTGGGGTACAATGTGATGCTTATTCCCTCTGTGAGGGAAATCTCCTCCTCCACCCATTCCCCACCAGCATTTAACCAATTCAAGCAACAGTTGGCTGAGTGGGTCAGGATCATCTATCCAGTAAGAAAGGAAGCTTCTAACTGAGGGGATGGCTACATGAGCAAGTTAGTGCAATCCTATGTACACACACTCTGCTGTGGCATGTGAGAGGTAGCTAAATCTTCCCTAGAGATGGGAGAAGTGACCTGGCTGTGAGCAGGAGGTCAGCACATGTGTAGAGGCACCCAGAACAGTAACTTGGCTTTGTAGCTGGGCCATGACTTCACACAGAAGGCACAGGACAGAGTCTTTCCAAGATCCCATAAAGAAGCTTATATAGGTATATCTCTTCCTAGAGCTGCAAAGCTAAAATGTTTCTCAAAGATGTTAGTCAGATGTTGATCTTAGTGGCTGCTGTTGGCCAGTGAAAGGTGCCAGACTGACAACAGCAAGGGAAAATTGCCTCCGAATGCATCATAGAGGGACGACACGTCAGTGAGCTTCAGATACCCACCGTCTTGTCTGCGTGTGCTAGAAGGAGCTCCTTTAGAGCCTTCAGTCCATGGCTCCTTTCTGCCCACCCCATTTTCAACCAGGGTCACTTCTGAAGGTTTCTTTTACAGTGTGGATACCTGTCTGGTAGGAACTGGAACGAAACCAGCACCTCATTTCAGATGAACAGATGGTAATGACTTTCAGCCACTTCAGACCTGGGCAGACTCCAGCTAGTGACCTATTTTATGGTGTTGGCTGTTTCCCTAAACATCGCAGTGTCTCCCAGATAGACGCTATCCCAGCTATGTAGATTAAAGCTAGATACACTATTGCTGCTTCAAGCGTGCACAACGACTGCTGTTGGCGTGACATGCTCTCACAGTTATAACAAGAGAGCCTATTTTTTATAACAGTTTCACAGGAGGCACTGTTCACACTTGTCACTTGGTGACTCTTTGCATCAGGGCATTTGTCCCCCCAGTATATCTAAGAGCCAAATGAACCTTCCTGCATTTTCATGGTTGTTGCTTGTTTCTGCTCAGAAACATTTTACATTTTGCACTAATTAGCTCATAAAGGCATTTAAATGGCAATCAATAGATTACATCAATTCCTTTTTGGCTTTCAAAGGGCATTCATCCATATTGGAAAGGAAAAGAAAGAACCTCTCCTTAGATATTTATTAACATACAGTCTCAGATTAAGGACTCCAAAATACCTCTTTCTCTTTCTTGAAAACCAGCAAAGGCCTGTACTAGAAAGCAATTTCAAATCACTAAGCTACTACTTTTAAGGGTGTATCTGTTAGAATTAACATCTTCTAAAACATTCAATTAAAGCTTCAGCATATCTGAGCAGCTCATCAAATCAATATAACACCATTTAATCCAAATTCAGCACTGATCCTAAGTATAATACCACAGTCTAATAGGTTTCAGACCTCCAATATGCATATATTCAAAAGGCATGACCTTTACAACCAATTAGTAATTCTTATGTAAGCTTGGCTGTATTTGAACTTCAGTGGAAGCAGAACGTGTTTCTAGACTGTCGTGGTTTAATCCCAGTCGGCAGCTAAGCACCACACAGCTGCTCGCTCCCCCTCCCAGTGGGATGGGGGAGAGAATCAGAAAAAAAAAGTAAAACCCAGCCCAGCCCGTCCCCGAGCAGCGGTCACTGCCCCCTGGCCAACTGCCCCCAGTTTCTATACATAACGTGATGTGGTATGGAATAGCCCTGTGGCCAGTCTGGGTCAGCTGTCCTGGCTGTGCCCCCTCCCAGCTTCTTGTGCACCTGGCAGAGCGTGGGAAGCTGAAAAGTCCTTGATTTAGTGTAAGCACTGCTTAGCAACAGCTAAAACATCAGTGGGTTATCAACATTGTTCTCATCCTAAATCCAAACCACAGCACTGTACCAGCTTCTAGGAAGAAAATTATCTCTATCCCAGCCGAAACCAGGACATAGACATTTAGAAATATAAATTACTCTTGAATTTCTGGTGGTTTCTTCTAATTGACAGCAGATGTGTTAAGAGACTTCTGTAAAATAACTTGCAAGTATGTGTTTGATCATTGGCAAACACAGCTGACCTGCTAGTACACTTTACTGAAAGCCTGAAATTTCAGAAGGAGTCCTCAAAATTGATCTGATGTGACGACTTCATAGGTTGAAATATTGAGGCAGGTAACATTTAGCAAGATCTTGCATTAGGTCGTTCTCCCTTTTGTGGGAAATTGAAGGTGGCTCATATCACACCATTACTGATGTAGTTAATCACTGTTAACTAAAACTGAAGACAAAGGAGGCCTCAAAGGACTGATATTTTATTGTGGAACTTTGTATTTTTCTCAGCAATGGTTTCAAGGATGTCCCTGACAAAACGACTCTACTATCCAATGGCTCCCCCGTGCCTCAGATTAAATGACTTGCTGCTCTGAAGTCAGTTCCTCATTTTTTCTCCTGGAAGTGGCACTAGTGGCCGGGCCTGTTAGCAGTTTCAGTAGGAAGGCCAAAGATCCTTTGGACATGATGGTTCCTGCTCTTACAGTTGGTTACTCCTACCTGGCACTGATGTTCATGAGTATGGCGTAGAGAGTTTGACACTGACATTGCTTCTGCTGTCGATAAGGACTTCAGCATCAGTGCCTGGAGGAGTCAAATTCAAGCACAGCTTAGATACTTCAGATACTATTTTTAGGAATTTTTTGCAACATGGTACAA